ATTCAATCAAAGAAGAAAGATTACATACTAAAGCTAATTCAATAAAATGCGAAAGATTACCTTGAATCAAAATCAAAAGAAGAGTGGTGTTATATGAATATCTTTTTATCTTATTTTTTTATATAATTTTTATATATTATTAAATGAGTAAATATATTTAATATTATAAATTTCATATAAATTAAAAAATTAATTATTTTAATAATATATTAAGTTATAAAAAAATAAAAATAAAAATGATAATACGAAAATCATTTCCCCCAAAAGAATGTAGCAAAAATCAAAAAGAACGTAGAAGATAGGAAATAACTTTTAAGGCATAAATAACATGTTAAGGCATGAATTGACTTCGGCAACATAGAACCAACAATGATGCCATGAATCACGATTATCGAGAAAAAGAACGTAGAAGATAGAAAAGTTACTTATGAAAAAGTCGCGTTTTTAGGGTATAACTTTTTTTTTTTTTTTTTTGACAAGTGAAATGTGTTTGTTCATACTCAGATGGTTAAATGCTCATTTTGGTCCCTCAACTTTAGTGGTTTGCACATTTTTGGTCCCTTGAGAATTTTTTGCACTTTTTTTATCCTTCAACTATACGAAATGCACTCCGTTAGTCCTTCTGTTAAATTGGACCGTTAACTCTGCTTCCGTGGCATTTTTGATATTTTTTTTGATGATGTGGAGGGCAAAATTTAAAAAAGTGATGACGTGCACAACAACTTTTGCCATGTCATGCTGCCGTGGTCAAAAAAGTCAAATCCGTTCAAGTGGGTCCCACATATCACTGCTAAGAATTGCTTCTGTCCATTGATTACTGTTTCTGTTCTTTCCATCGAGAAGAATTGCTTCTGTCCATTGATTACTGTTTCTGTTCTTTCCATCGAGAAGAATTGCTTCTATCCATTGATTACTGTTTCGTTCTTTCCATCGACGATATTCTTTCCATTTTTAAGATTGAAATCATTTAAACAATACTTAAAAAATAAGAAGAAAAAAATCCCAAAAATCACTCAC